TAAATACCCTTTTCAGGGAGGCAGCCACGCCCCACACCAGTGACTGGCCGCAATCTCACAGCTGTACTATGACACCCCGGTGTGGGCCTGTGGGCACGTGGGGCAGGCAAGCCCACATCTAACTGGGCTTGGCTCAGGAATTGCTACATGGGTGGTGATACAAGCGGGGGTTGAACCCGGATTAGAACTTCCAGACATGCTCCTGCCTCGGCCGTGATTGCTGGGTCCCTCGCAAAGGAAGTCTTTTTTTTTAAAAAATATTTTTAATTGATTTTTTACAGAGAGGAAGGGAGAATGATAGAGAGTTAGAAACATCGATGAGAGAGAAACATCGATCAGCTGCCTCCTGCACACCCCCTACTGGGGATGTGCCTGCAACCAAGGTACATGCCCTTGGCCGGAATCGAACCCGGGACCCTTCAGTCTGCAGGCCGACACTCTATCCACTGAGCCAAACCGGCTAGGGCAAAGGAAGCCTTTTTGGTAATGACCGTGGGAGTCAGGTTGGCTGGCCCTCTGAGAACCGAGGCTGGAATAAAGAGCTGGATGGGAGAGGACACCCGGCTCCCAGCGCTCTCTCCAGGCGGTTCCCTCCAAGACATCCCAAGTGAATTGAGCGAGTGAACTGAGCGAGCAAGCCTTACAGAAGTCCCAAAGCAGCCTGGGGCTGGAGCCGCCTCGGGCCAGCTTCAGGGAGCCCCTCCCTTGGGCCTGGGTGACCCCGCTTCCCACAGGTGCCCCTTCCACAGGAAGCACTGCTGCAGCTGCTTGAACTGGAGGCACCCCGAATGGCGGATGGATCCGCTGGGGGATGGCCTGGGCCGCCGGAAGGGGGACCCCTCGATGCACAGAAGGAAGTGGCCCTTCTCAGCTTTTGGGGTCATGGACCCTTTTAAGAACCTGGTGGAAGGTTGTGACACTCGAAATTGAGCCCCAACTGCCAGGGTGTGGCTGGAAGAGCCTGGGGTGGGAGCCCGGGCGGGCTAGTGCGCGCTCTGGATGCAGGGTGAGGGCCTGTCCCCCTGCCTGGCCCGAGGGGCTCCTGTGGGAGCGGAGGCTGTACTTACCGCTGCGGCTGCTCCCTGGAGGCTGCGGGCTCTGGTGCGGGTGTGCCGGGGCCTCCCTGCTTTATGTAGCTCCCCGGGACTTCCGCTCTGACGGCCGCCCGCGCCCTGATTGCTGTACATTCCTGGCCCTGGGATTCCATTGGGATCGCTGCTGGTGGGGAGAGGCGGGCAGTGTCCGCTGCATTGACGAAAGACTGACACGGATGTGGTGAAGAGCCTCCTCGATGGCGTGTAATAAACGCCCCAGGGCTTAGGAACAATAGAAGGTTACAGTTAAATTAGGTCATCGCAGTCTCTGGCTCTGTTGCAAAGACCACAGCTCCCTCTTAACGTTTTTTACAAGCAGGTCACGGGTTAGCCAGGGGTGAAAAGCCTAACCTTTCTAAGGTATGAGCCTGTAACCTTTCTAAGGTATGAGCCTGTAACCTTTCTAAGGTATGAGCCTGTAACCTTTCAAAGGTATGAGCCTGTGACCTTTCGAAGGTATGAGCCTGTGACCTGTGGCCTTTCAAAGGTATGAGTCTGTGACCTTTCAAAGGTATGAGTCTGTGACCTGTGTTGAGAAATGGAGCGACAAACTTTGTGTGTGTTTAGCCCACCGTTTTGTGGTTTTGTGGATAAAAGCTTACTTCTACATCTGGTCGGGGCTGCCGTTCGGTCCTTGCTACGGCCGGGAGCTGTAACTGCAGTCGCTGGCCAGCTAATCAAGGCTCCTAAATTCTACCCTTTGGCTCTGGGGGTCTCTTACGGGTTGCCCCATAACATTTGGAGGCCCCAGCGAGATAAAAATCTGGCCTTGTTGCCGGTGGACGCCCCAGTAAAGGAACCTCCAGTCTCTGGCCTGGGTTCCAGGGAGGCGAAGTGTTTTCCTCGAAATTGCATCCGAAAGAGTGAGCCACCTGGACCTCCAGTGGGGAGGTGAGAATCTGGTTTCTGGTTTCTGGTTGTGGAACGTTCCCTTTAGGACTCAAAAGAGGGCTGGACACAGCAAAACCTCAGAGTCTGACCGCCCAGACGCGACGGTGTCTGGGGGTCCTGGTCTGGGCAACCTTAGGTTGCATTTGTCTGGTTTGTTTTGTCTTTGTTCTTTGTTGTCTTTGTCAAAATGGGTCAGGGATTGTGTGAATGGATTACTGATCTAGGTTATCAAGGATCTCTAAGGGACTTGTCCTGTACCTGGAGGAATGGCTTCTAGACGGTATTCACCGTCTCTGGGACTTCCAGGAGGGAAGTCAAAACTCGGACTGGCTAAGGGTTCGAGTCTGACCTGTCTTTTAAAAAAGGTAGAAGAGAAGCGTTCCTAGGCAGTTTTCTACTGCCTCTGTTCAGGGACTTGTTCTGTGTCTATGCACAATTAAAACTGATTTGTTGGTATTTTGTGGTGTAAATGTGGCATGCGCCGGTGTAAAAGTGTTTTTATGTTTGTTTCTGTTTTGTTTTGTTTTCTTTAAAAAAAAACCTTCTAAACATCTCCTGAGTTTCCATGGTGATTCAAAGTTTTTAATGGGGAATGTATCTAGTTGTTGTGTCTATTTAGTCTTGTTTTCTTTGTTCAGTATGAGTACCGTTTCTGTCTGGACGAGACATGGGTCAAGAATCCTGTCCTGGGATGTGGGAAAGGGAGGCCCCCACATCTGTTCTTGTCAGGCCCCCATCAGGGGACTTGGGCGGTGTTCCTGTTATCTGCTCAAGATCCCAAGGCTGTAAGAGTACTTGTTCACTGAAAGGGTGTAAGTGCAGATGTTTATTTGATGTTTGTATGCCTACCTGGGTATAATTATTTGTTCATGTAAGTATGGAAGTCTGCGAGAGAAAAAACAAACAAAAAAAACAACAGCACACATTTAATTTAGGGCTGAGTGCTCAGACCAATAGCAAAACGCCCGGAGCGGTCGCTGGGTTCTTTTCCCAAGGGTGCTGGCTGTCTGTCAGAGGTGGAATCGGCCCGCCTAACTAGTAAAAATTTCTGTCTATGTTTGTTTACTAGGGACTTTGATTTGCTCTGTGATTTTGCTGTGTTGGGTTGAAATTTTGGAATTCTGGGGTAGATTTAAAGGTATTTGTAGCTTTTCTAGTCTGATTGGGACGTTCAGGGTGGGCTCACAGCTCCTCAGGGCAGAGAGATTTTATGGGCCCCGCCCCCTGCCTGTGCTGAATTAAGGATCTTTTCTTTCAGGAGACCCTCCGGGCTTTTAGTAAAATTTCCCTGCACCCTTGTCATCCTCTGCCTTCTTTTCCAGGTCGACTAAGAGTCATTTACCTCCACAGGGATTGTCTTCCTCTAACTCACAATAGGAAATAATACAGGCCTGTGTCATTTGGCTTGCTGGTTAAAGGAAGACAATGGGCCCTGGAATCTATAAAAGTGGCTGGGAATAAAGCTGGTCAAATGTACTGAAAGGGTTCGGTACCTGTTGCTGCTAGCAGAGGAGGGGCCGATATCCCCTTCCAGTGCACTCCCTTGGGAGAGGCCTGATCGCTGCTCTGCCACAGGGGACGGGTACGATGCAGGGGCCTGGTACCCAACCCACTGCCACAGGAGCACTTCGTAATATGCAGGGCATGTTTTCCCCTGGCCAGCATAAGGGCCGCTGGCCCCCACCATGCCACCGTCGCTGGCTGGAGGCGAGCGCTTTTTCCAGGGGGAACAGAAAGAAAAGGACTGCCAGATGAAAATGCTTTCCCCCCAGGATCCCCCCACGGCGGGAGCACCTCCACTCATGACCTGCACCCAGCTCCCTGCCTCCACCTATCCGGCTCCCATCTCCTGCGCCCTCTGCTCACCGGGGTTGTAATTGCCTTTTTGATGAAGCCTTGAGCTCGGACCTACTTGCCTTTGGACAGGAGCATCCAGAATGTGCCCTACTCCAGTATGTAGATGACCTTCTGCTGGCAGCAGATACTGAGGAACATCGCCAACAAGCCACTGGGGGCCTGTTAGGCACCTTACAGGCATTAGGCTACCGGGTGTCAGCCAAGAGGCACAGTTGTGCTCCTCTGATGTCACATACCTGGGGTACATTAGCAAAGGCAGACGGACCCTCTCCCTCAGTCGGATAGAGGCAATCTTACGGGTCCCCATGCCTACAACCAAGAAGCAGGTTCGGGAATTCTTAGGGGCAGTTGGATACTGCCGCCTGTGGATACCGGGGTTCGCGGAGATCGCTAAACCTTTATACTCAAGTACTTGGGGAACGCAGCTGCTAAACTGAACCGAAGTGGAACAACGGGCTTTTGAGGAGCTAAAGAAGGCTCTCGTCTCAGCACCTGCCCTCACCTTGCCAGACGTCAGGAAGCCCTTCCACCTCTACGTGAGTGAGGTAAGGGGCATTGCCAAAGGGGTTCTCACCCAGACTCTAGGTCCCTAGAAGAGACCGGAGGCCTATCTGTCTAAGAGACGTGCCTCCGGGCAGTGGCCACCACAGCATTGCTGGTAAAGGAGGCAGACAAGCTGGTTTTGGGCCAGGAACTAGCCCTGACAACACCCCATGCTGTGGAAGCCCTCCTTCGAGGTGCTCCGGAGAGATGGATGTCAAACACCAGGGTCACCCAGTACCAAGCTCTTCTCCTGGACCAGCCCCGCATCCAATTCCATAAGACACTGGCCATCAACCCTGCCAGCCTGCTCCCAGATGATGATTCGGAGGAGCCCATCCATGACTGCAGAGAGGTAACAGACGCAGTACAAACGGCTTGCCCAGACTTGACCGATGTCCCGCTATCATCACCAGACAAGGTACTGTTATGTACAAGATGGGAGCAGTTATGTACAGGATGAGATCTGGTATACAGTGGGCGGTGGTAATCACCCTAGACCGCCCAAGGAAACCAAGCTGAAGACCGAGTGGCACTAGGGGACTTGGTAACTGTAAGAACTGCCAAGGAAGCCGCCCAAAAACCAGTGGGGCCTTTACAAGAGGAGGAATTGGCAGAACAGAAGCAAGCTACCAGAGGACCAAATGGTTGGTGGACTCTACCAGATGGCAGACTGTTGGTCCCAGAGGCTCTCGGTCGGACGTTAGTTGCCCAGTTACACCAGGCTACCCACCTAGGCGTCACCAAGACTTCTGAACTTCTGCGAGGCAGGTACTATATACCAAGCTTAGATAAGATCATTAAAAGCATAGTCACTAGATGTACTATCTGTGTACAGGTAAATGCTAAGCAAGGTAGGGGGGTCCCCCTGGGAATTCGGGCCCAGGGAAACTCCCCAGGAAAGCATTGGGAGGTATAAGTATGGACTCCTTCTCGGGATGGGTTGAAGCCTATCCCACCAGGACAGAAACTGCCTCTATAATGGTCAAGAAATTACTCCAGGAGAGTATACCTAGATTTGGGCTACCAGCAGTCATAGGATCAGATAACAGCCCCGCCTCTGTGGCAAAGTATAGCTCAAGTCTTAGGCATGAATTGGAAACTCCATTGTGCATACCAGCCACAGATTCAGGGCAGGTATGAACAGGACTCTAAAAGGACTTTAACTAAATTTATCCTAGAAACCGGTGAAAACTGGACCAACCTCCTGCCCTTTGCCTACTTACAGGCGAGGTGTACCCCCAACCGGGAGGGGTTCTCTCCTTTTGAAATCATGTTTGGTAAACCTCCCCCTATCCTGCCCAAAGTTAGGGGAGGAATTAAAAGCTAAAAGTCATAACCATTCCTTACTCAAGTCCTTGCAGGCTCTGCAGTATGCCCAGAGAGCCACCCATAAGCTTGTTCGAGACGCCCTACCGGTGCCACCTCGGACCCTGTACATCCTTTCCAGCCTGGGGACTCGGTGTGGGCAAAGAAGTTCACTACCCAAGGACTCACCCCAGCTTGGAAGGGACTATACACTGTCACCCTGCTGACGGCATCCAGACCTGGCTACACCACTCCCAGCTCCTGCACCAGGAAACGGCCTGGATCCCGGCAGCCAGCGGCCTCACCCGTGAGACCCCTAGCCTGGGCTCCACACAGGCCAGGAGAAGGCTCAACGCCCACAGGAGGGGAACTGGGCTTCAGTGAGGACAGTACTGACGGGGACTGTGGCACTAGGGGCCTTGGTAACTGTAAGAACATTTTTCCTAGCCAGTGAGAAAGCCATGGCCAAGTGGGGCTAGATGTCTAGGGGACAGGAGAGCAGGAACAGAATAGAGAATGCCCCGAAAAGAAGTGGGGTGAGTAAATAGAACTAAATTGTGCCAAGCAGGCAGTTTAGAAAAATTAATTCGGTCAAACTACTTGTAGTTAG